GTCTGTCTCTGTGTCTCTGTGTGTCTCTGTGTCTCTCTGTTTCTCGGTGTCTCTCTGTGTCTCTGTGTCTCTGTGTGTCTCTGTGTCTCTCTGTGTCTCTGTGTGTCTCTGTGTCTCTGTGTTTCTCGATGTGTCCCTGTGTGTGTCTCTTTGTGTGTCTGTGTGTCTATCTGTGTCTCTGTGTGTCTCTGTGTCTCTCTGTGTGTCTCTGTGTCTCTGTTTGTCTGAGTGTCTCTGTGTCTCTGTGTCTCTCTGTGTGTCTCTGTGTCTCTCTGTGTGTCTCTTTGTGTCTCTGTCTGTCTCTGTCTCTCTGTAGTAATGAGTCTATGTGTCTCTCTCTCTGTGTGTCTCTCTATGTGTCTCTGTCTCTCTGTCTCTCTCTTTGTCTCTGTCTCTCTCTGTCTCTCTGTGTCTCTCTGTAGTAATGAGTCTATGTGTCTCTCTGTCTCTCTCTGTCTCTCTGTGTCTCTGTCTCTCTGTAGTAATGAGTCTATGTGTCTCTGTCTCTCTGTGTCTCTCTCTGTCTTTCTGTAGTAATGTCTCTCTCTGTCTCTCTGTAGTAATGAGTCTATGTGTCTCTCTGTGTCTCTCTCTGTCTCTCTGTGTCTCTGTCTCTCTGTAGTAATGAGTCTATGTGTCTCTGTCTCTCTGTGTCTCTCTGTGTCTCTGTGTCTCTCTGTATCTCTCTGTCTGTGTCTCTCTGTAGTAATGAGTCTGTCTATCTCTCTGTCTCTGTCTCTCTGTCTCTCTCTGTCTCTCTCTTTGTCTCTGTCTCTCTGTAGTAATGAGTCTATGTGGCTCTGTCTCTCTCTGTCTCTCTCTCTCTCTGTGTCTCTCTCCATGTGTCTCTGTCTCTCTCTGTCTCTCTCTCTCTGTAGTAATGTGTCTCTGTCTCTCTCTCTCTCTCTGTGTCTCTCTGTCTCTCTGTACTAATGTGTCTCTGTCTCTCTGTGTCTATCTCTCTCTGTGTCTCTGTCTCTCTCTCTGTCTCTCTGTCTCTCTCTGTCTCTCTCTCTGTCTCTCTGTAGTAATGAGTCTATGTGTCTCTGTCTCTCTCTCTGTCTCTCTGTAGTAATGTGTCTCTCTGTCTCTCTGTGTCTCTCGCTGTCTCTCTGTAGTAATGTGTCTCTGTCTCTCTCTCTCTGTGTGTGTCTCTCTCTCTGTCTCTCTGTAGTAATGTCTCTCTGTCTCTCTCTCTCTGTGTCTCTCTGTCTCTCTCTGTCTCTGTCTCTCTCTGTCTCTCTGTGTCTCTCTGTAGTAATGTGTCTCTCTGTCTCTCTCTGTGTCTCTCTCTCTGTCTGTGTCTATCTCTGTCTCTCTGTAGTAATGAGTCTATGTGTCTCTGTCTCTCTCTCTGTGTCTCTCTCTCTGTGTCTCTCTCTGTGTCTCTCTGTAGTAATGAGTCTATGTGTCTCTGTCTCTCTCTCTGTGTCTCTGTCTCTCTCTGTGTCTCTCTGTGTCTCTCTGTCTCTCTGTAGTAATGTCTCTCTCTGTCTCTCTGTAGTAATGTCTCTCTCTGTCTCTCTGTAGTAATGTCTCTGTCTCTCTCTGTCTCTCTCTCTGTCTCTCTGTAGTAATGAGTCTATGTCTCTCTGTGTCTCTGTCTCTCTCTGTCTCTGTCTCTCTGTAGTAATGAGTCTATGTGTCTCTGTCTCTCTCTGTGTCTCTCTCTGTGTCTCTCTCTGTGTCTCTCTGTAGCAATGCGTCTATGTGTCTCTGTCTCTCTCTCTGTGTCTCTCTGTCTCTCTCTTTCTCTGTCTCTCTCTGTCTCTCTGTGTCTCTCTATAGTAATGTGTCTCTCTGTCTCTCTCTGTGTCTCTCTCTGTCTGTGTCTATCTCTGTCTCACTGTAGTAATGAGTCTATGTGTCTCTGTCTCTCTCTGTGTCTCTCTCTGTGTCTCTCTCTGTGTCTCTCTGTAGTAATGAGTCTATGTGTCTCTGTCTCTCTCTCTGTGTCTCTGTCTCTCTCTGTGTCTCTCTGTGTCTCTCTGTCTCTCTGTAGTAATGTCTCTCTCTCTGTAGTAATGTGTGTCTCTCTCTCTCTCTGTCTCTCTCTCTCTGTATCTCTGTAGTAATGTGTCTCTGTCTCTCTCTCTCTGTCTCTCTCTGTCTCTCTGTAGTAATGAGTCTCTCTGTCTCTCTGTAGTAATGTCTCTCTCTCTCTGTCTCTCTGTGTCTCTCTGTAGTAATGTGTCTCTGTCTCTCTCTGTCTCTCTGTAGTAATGTGTCTCTCTGTCTCTCTGTAGTAATGTCTCTCTGTCTCTCTGTCTCTCTGTGTCTCTCTGTAGTAATGTGTCTCTGTCTCTCTCTGTCTCTCTGTAGTAATGTGTCTCTCTGTCTCTCTCTCTGTGTCTCTCTGTCTCTCTCTCTGTCTCTGTCTCTCTCTGTCTCTCTGTGTCTCTCTGTAGTAATGTGTCTCTGTCTCTCTGTCTCTCTCTGTCTCTCTCTCTGTCTCTGTCTCTCTCTGTCTCTCTGTGTCTCTCTGTAGTAATGTGTCTCTCTGTCTCTCTCTTTGTCTCTCTCTCTGTCTGTGTCTATCTCTGTCTCTGTCTCTCTGTAGTAATGTCTCTCTCTGTCTCTCTGTAGTAATGTGTCTCTGTCTCTCTCTCTGTGTCTCTGTCTCTCTCTGTCTCTCTCTCTGTCCCTCTCTGTCTCTCTGTAGTAATGTCTCTCTGTCTCTCTCTCTCTGTGTGTCTCTCTCTGTATCTCTGTAGTAATGTGTCTCTCTCTCTGTGTCTCTCTGTAGTAATGTGTCTCTGTCTCTCTCTCTGTGTCTCTCTCTCTGTGTCTCTGTAGTAATGTCTCTCTCTCTGTCTCTCTGTCTCTCTCTGTCTCTCTGTAGTAATGTGTCTCTCTCTGTGTGTCTCTCTGTAGTAATGTGTCTCTGTTTCTCTCTCTCTCTCTGTGTCTCTCTCTCTGTGTGTCTCTCTCTCTGTGTCTCTCTCTCTCTGTCTCTCTGTAGTAATGTGTCTCTGTCTCTCTCTCTGTCTCTCTCTGTATCTCTGTAGTAATGTGTGTCTCTCTGTCTCTCTCTGTCTCTCTGTAGTAATGTGTGTCTCTCTGTCTCTCTGTCTATCTCTGTCTCTCTGTACTAATGTCTCTCTGTCACTCTGTCTCTCTCTGTGTCTCTCTGTCTCTCTGTCTATCTCTGTCTCTCTGTACTAATGTCTCTCTGTCTCTCTCTCTGTGTGTCTCTCTCTCTGTCTCTCTCTCTGTCTCTCTGTAGTAATGTGTCTCTCTCTGTCTCTCTCTGTACTAATGTCTCTCTGTCTCTCTCTCTGTGTCTCTCTCTCTCTGTCTCTCTCTCTGTCTCTCTGTAGTAATGTGTCTCTCTCTGTCTCTCTCTGTACTAATGTCTCTCTGTCTCTCTCTGTGTGTCTCTCTCTCTGTCTCTCTCTCTGTCTCTCTGTAGTAATGTCTCTCTGTCTCTCTCTCTGTCTCTCTCTCTCTCTGTCTCTCTGTAGTAATGTGTCTCTCTCTCTGTCTCTCTCTCTGTGTGTCTCTCTCTCTGTGTCTCTCAGCTACCCACCACGGGATTCATCGCTGTTCTTGCCGCTCTCCACGCCTGCCCCGAAGTTTCCATCGCCGGCTTTGGCTATCCGGCAAATTCGCCGGGAGCTCTGGTCCACTACTACGGCCAGAGCCGTATGCAAGAAATCACGAAGGTTGGAGACTGAGATGTTGACTACCTCGCCTGGTACACAGGAGGTCGTGGGTTCTATAATCTGAGATGTTGACTACCTCGCCTGGTACACAGGAGGTCGTGGGTTCTATAATCTGAGATGTTGACTACCTCGCCTGGTACACAGGAGGTCGTGGGTTCTATCACAGACACTGTGAGATGTTGACTACCTCGCCTGGAACACAGGAGGTCGTGGGATCGATCACAGACCCTGTGAGATGTTGACTACCTCGCCTGGTTTACAGGAGGTCGTGGGTTCGATCACAGACCCTGTGAGATGTTGACTACCTCGCCTGGTACACAGGACGTCGTGGGTTCTATCACAGACCCTGTGAGATGTTGACTACCTCGCCTGGTCTACAGGAGGTCGTGGGTTCGATCACAGACCCTGTGAGATGTTGACTACCTCGCCTGGTATACAGGAGGTCGTGGGTTCCATAACAGAACCTGTGAGATGTTGACTACCTCGCCTGGTGCACAGGAGGTCGTGGGTTAGATCACAGACACTGTGAGATGTTGACTACCTCGCCTGGTATACAGGAGGTCGTGGGTTCGAATACAGACCCTGTGAGATGTTGACTACCTTGCCTGGTATACAGGAGGTCGTGGGTTCGATCCCTGACACTGTGAGATGTTGACTACCTCGCCTGGTCTACAGGAGGTCGTGGGTTCGATCCCAGACCCTGTGAGATGTTGACTACCTCGCCTGGTACACAGGAGGTCGTGGGTTCGATCACAGACCCTGTGAGATGTTGACTACCTCGCCTGGTACACAGGAGGTCGTGGGTTCGATCACAGACCCTGTGAGATGTTGACTACCTCGCCTGGTCTACAGGAGGTCGTGGGTTCGATCCCAGACCCTGTGAGATGTTGACTACCTCGCCTGGTACACAGGAGGTCGTGGGTTCGATCACAGACCCTGTGAGATGTTGACTACCTCGCCTGGTACACAGGAGGTCGTGGGTTAGATCACAGACCCTGTGAGATGTTGACTACCTCGCCTGGTACACAGGAGGTCGTGGGTTCAGACCCTGTGAGATGTTGACTACCTCGCCTGGTACACAGGAGGTCGTGGGTTAGATCACAGACCCTGTGAGATGTTGACTACCTCGCCTGGTACACAGGAGGTCGTGGGTTCGATCCCTGACACTGTGAGATGTTGACTACCTCACCTGGTCTACAGGAGGTCGTGGGTTCGATCACAGACCCTGTGAGATGTTGACTACCTCGCCTGGTATACAGGAGGTCGTGGGTTCTATCACAGACCCTGTGAGATGTTGACCACCTCGCCTGGTACACAGGAGGTCGTGGGTTAGATCACAGACCCTGTGAGATGTTGACTACCTCGCCTGGTACACAGGAGGTCGTG